TACTGCATGTACCCTGGTGGCTGCCTAGTGCTCCCTGACACCCGCCCGTTTGATCCCGTACCTGGGATGGGTGTCCTTGGCCATGTTCCCGTGTCGTTCCTCCCAATCCGGCACCTGCTGCCGTGGTGGAGATCGTCCCCACGTCCTTGGTAAGTGGGCTCCGTCTGTTGACGTCCCCTGCCTGTCCCTGTGACCGATGCGGAGGTGGGCTCCTCCTGGAGGGGTGGGGAGCGTTGCTCCCTCCCTTGGTGGGCAGGCTCCCTTCGCTGATCCGATCCAGCGCTGCCCCCGGCGCCTCCGGAGCGATTCATGCAGAGCAGCGGATGGTGTGCACCCTGGCAGTACCTACAGTTGGTGCTTGAAGGGCACTCGCACCTGATGCGGCCCCAGGCACCGAAAACACCAACGCCTCTGCTGTGCCACACCCCGTCTCCTCTGAACCCGCTGCGCAGCAAACTCCTGACACGCTGCCACCCCGTGGCCTGTCTCCCTGCAGTAGGCACACCCTGATTCCAATGCGGTGTTGTACCGCCTGGGTTGCCCACTGTTGCCTCCTCGCGCCGGTGCACCCGGCCGTTCCGGGTGGCGAGGGGCAGAGGTCTCCTTGCGAGGGCTTCACCAGCCTGGACGTCCACTCGCCTGCTTTCGGCCTCGAGGAACGACTTCAGATCCTCGTAGGTCGGGAGGTGGTCCGAGGACTTGCCCCCATGTAGCTGCTCGAATCGAGCGACCATTTCGCTCGGCAGGCGGCGAAGCACTGTGTGGACCAAGATATAACCGTAGCCCGCCACTGGCAAACCCTGTCGCTCCAGTGCGCTGACCGCGACGCTGACTGGGTGGAAGATTTTCTCGCGGAGGTCCGTACCTCGCGTTATGGTTGGTATTGACAGCCACTGGTCTAACAGCCTGTCCACAATCAGGCGCTTGTTCCGATACCGGTCGGTAAGGATCTTCCACGCCACCTCATAATTGCTATCCGAGACAGCCAAATGCGTCAGCAATTCATGAGGCTCTCCATGTAGCCTGGACATCAGCTGAGCCATCTTGTACGCCGGCGTTATGTCCGTCCGTGTGTGGACCACGCTGCTATACAGGTCCTCAAACGCCGGCCAGTCGGCGTAATCGCCTGCAAAGACTGGAACCGTAACAGGCGGAAGAGGCACCTGTAATCCTTGTCCCACTTTACCACGGAATGGCTTTTCCTTTCCGTCACGTCGCCCAGTTATGTCCGCAGCTGCCTGCGCAATGTCCTGTGCCAGCTCCAAGCACTGGCTTACATCGCCCTCAACCAGCTCCTTATCTTCAGGGTTAGGAGCTTCCTCAAGGAGCATGAGGCACTCTGTGAGGTGTTCCGACACAACCCGAACCCGTTCATCTGCCTGTAGTGCACTTTTCAAGAGCGCGTCCTCTCGGTCCTCGCGGCCGATCATTGCCGCTGTGGTAGTAAACCACCTTAATTCTGTCTTTATAGCAGCCTTATACCTGGCGATCGAGGAGCCATGGTACCAACTTTTACACACTCGACTTAATAAAACGAAAACCAATAAACAAATACCACAAAATAAATGTTAGTTGACTGGCCTAGACCTACCGATAAGGTACCGTTCACTAGGCAAACAATACAGTCACAAAAACCGAAACAATATTTTCCAAAATTAACAAAATATGTGGGTAATATAAAAACACGCTTAATACTAAATTACGGCTAACTATGTTGCAATAAAGCAACCACGCTCTGCTACCAAAAATGTTTGATTCCGAAGCTGATCTTAGCGCAGTGGAAGCAAATTAAAGTTATCTTAAAATCTAAAACTAAATGGTCGATCAGCCTCGAACAACATTTGACTACGATTCGTAGTGCTCTTTACTATAGCTAAATAAAATAAATTTAATGAGAGAATTTTGTTCCGGAAAGTTTCCGGCCGAGAAATTCTTGTTTCCAAAATCTACTTAAACAGGGCCCAGCAACGAATTGCTTACCGAGCGAACGATGACGCCGTTTCTTTGTGAGTTTAAGTATGACAGGAATCAGGTATTCAGGATATTTGAGGAGCACAGGAATAGGGAATAACCTAAACTCACGGCACCGGAACATCCGCTCGTTCTCGAACTCCTTTCCTCCAATTTGCACTATAGTTCACAGTTCGACATCACATAATGTTTTTTAACACAAAATAACTAAAAGATTTCTCTCCGAATGAGAAATCGGCCCCGTTGGCCTCCAATCATTTATAATTAAAATACGTAGCTATCGGCAGCCACGACGCGAGCCAACGAAAAGTGAGGTTATATTTTGCCGGCGGTCGCGTGACTCTCAATCAAAGCGCCGGAACCAAAATCACTTGGTTCACTTCCCCACCGAACAGGGAAAACCACACGCGAAAACCGAAAGCACACCAAATTACACCACTTATAATCAAAATTCGCATCCACGATGCGGGCGACGGCAGAGGACGTGACAATGACAGAGCAGTGTTGCCAGCACCGCGCGCCCATTTTATACGAAAACTAAACAGACTGATTCACATCTTAAAGTATTTGCAGTATTTTTTTTTACATACTGTATTTTCAGTATCTTAGCAGGGACTTTTGGAACAAATTCACAAATTGATAAATATTTATTAGTATTAATAGGATATTGCAGGCTAAACCACCACATTGTCTGAAAAGCAAGATAGTTTCGTGCTCTGGAGGGTACGTTAAGCCGTTGGTCCCGATAGCTGTCTATGATCATGAGATGGCGGTCGTTTCACAACTATGGCAGAGGCCTGCTACTTGTAGTAGGTGGTTGAAAAACTCCGACACCAGGGTCCATCGGGTCGATGGACGACTTGGTGTTCCACTCGACGAAGAAGAAGTAAAAGGTTGTATGAGTCTTGATTCTCAATACAGCCAAAGATGATGATGATAGCTTGATGATCTTGGAAGGATTGGTTGATAACTTTCACTGATTTATTTGATATTATTAATACTAAGGTATACAGAGTTCCGATTCTGATGATGCTTGCACGTGAACTGACTCGAATTGGGTCGATTCGATACAATACTAAAAATGCCAAATTAACAAATATTGAATAATAAATTATAAGTAAAGTAAGTAAATGCTGACGCGCAAAATGTACAAAAATGTGAGGAATGCTGCCCATCTGAATTTGGATCCTACAGAACAAACCATTTACGTAGACTTACCTGGCTACTAGGCCCTTCATCGCTGTCCTGCATGTTGCTGTCAGTCCGCTGACTCTGTTCCGGGCTACCACTGCTGTCCTGATTGGAGGAATGCTGCCCATCCGAATTTGGATCCTATGGTATAAGCCATTTACATTGACTTACCTGGCTACTAGGTCCTTCATCGCTGTCCTGCATGTTGCTGTCAGTCCGCTGACTCTGTTCCGGGCTGCCGCTGCTGTCCTGATTGGAGGAATGTTGCCCATCCGAATTTGGATCCTACAGAACAAACCATTTACATTGACTTACCTGGCTACTAGGCCCTTCATCGCTGTCCTGCATGTTGCTGTCAGTCCGCTGACTCTGTTCCGGGCTGCCGCTGCTGTCCTGATTGGAGGAATGCTGCCCATCCGAATTTGGATCCTATGGTATAAACCATTTACATTGACTTACCTGGCTGCTAGGCCCTTCATCGCTATCTTGCATGTTGCTGTCAGTCCGCTGACTCTGTTCCGGGCTGCCGCTGCTGTCCTGATTGGAGGAATGCTGCCCATCCGAATTTGGATCCTATGGTATAAACCATTTACATTGACTTACCTGGCTGCTAGGCCCTTCATCGCTATCTTGCATGTTGCTGTCAGTCCGCTGACTCTGTTCCGGGCTGCCGCTGCTGTCCTGATTGGAGGAATGCTGCCCATCCGAATTTGGATCCTATGGTATAAACCATTTACATTGACTTACCTGGCTGCTAGGCCCTTCATCGCTGTCCTGCATGTTGCTGTCAGTCCGCTGACTCTGTTCCGGGCTACCACTGCTGTCCTGATTGGAGGAATGCTGCCCATCCGAATTTGGATCCTATGGTATAAGCCATTTACATTGACTTACCTGGCTACTAGGTCCTTCATCGCTGTCCTGCATGTTGCTGTCAGTCCGCTGACTCTGTTCCGGGCTACCACTGCTGTCCTGGTTGGAGGAATGCTGCCCATCAGAATTTGGATCCTATTGTATAAACCATTTACATTGACTTACCTGGCTGCTAGGTCCTTCATCGCTGTCCTGCATGTTGCTGTCAGTCCGCTGACTCTGTTCCGGGCTGCCGCTGCTGTCCTGATTGGAGGAATGTTGCCCATCAGAATTTGGATCCTACAGAACAAACCATTTACGTAGACTTACCTGGCTACTCGGCCCTTCATCGCTGTCCTGCATGTTGCTGTCAGTCCGTTGGCTCTGTTCCGGGCTGCCACTGCTGTCCTGATTGGAGGAATGTTGCCCATCCGAATTTGGATCCTACACAACAAACCATTTACATTGACTTACCTGGCTACTCGGCCCTTCATCGCTGTCCTGCATGTTGCTGTCAGTCCGTTGGCTCTGTTCCGGGCTGCCACTGCTGTCCTGATTGGAGGAATGTTGCCCATCCGAATTTGGATCCTACACAACAAACCATTTACATTGACTTACCTGGCTACTCGGCCCTTCATCGCTGTCCTGCATGTTGCTATCGGTCCGTTGACTCTGTTCCGGACTGCCGCTGCTGTCCTGATTGGAGGAATGTTGCCCATCCGAATTTGGATCCTACAGAACAAATCATTTAGAATAGAATAGAACGTTTATTCCAATGTACAAAACATAGCTATCCACATAAAATACAAACTAGAAGTTGTACAAAGAAAAAGGTAACAACTCAGCAGTATGCTGTAATACATAGTAGGTATTACAGCTCTGGTATTCTGTGGTAGCCGTTTGCGCTTTCGCACTGATCGAGGCAAGATTGATTTTATAATTATTATTTAGTTTTTTTGTAATGCAAATAAGAAATTGAAAAAATTACGTGCATCGACCGGGGCTCGAACCCGGAACGCATGGGTCAACGCCCCATTGCTCTGCTCTGCCACTAAGCTATCAATGCACTGATCGATACTAGCCAAATTTTTTACCTCTTGTTGCTCGTCTCCAAGCGACAATCTAGGGACATTTAGTAGAAAGTATTTACAACTTTATTACATGGTTAGGTTAGTTGATACATAATTTTTTTTCAATTTCTTATTTTTATTAATGACTGAGAATAATATAGCACGGTGAGTGCATCAAAATCCCAATTTAGGGAAAAATTCTACTAGTGATCGATATCGAAATCTCAGGTCGGGCTGGTGATAAAGATCAACTTTCTCCAAGAAACATAGGTAGAAATATAAAAAAAAAATAGTCCTCCCAAAGTGACACAAATCAGCTGCTCAGCAATTTCGAATGGGAGGACAAAAATTAATTTTTATTTTATATTCCTACCTATGTTCCTTGGCGAAAGTTGATCCTTATTTATCACCAGCTTGTCCTGGGGTTTCGCTATCGGTCACTTGTGAAATTTCACCCAATAGATTCATTTATTTTTTACTTGTGAGTAAAACTTTGCAATTTTAGCCGACCGTAGCAACCGCGACAAAATCGCACGATATTTTTTTGGAATATTTGTGAGTGTTCCGTTATTTTAACAATTTAGTAAGCGTTTTTTTTTTTTGGACAAACTAAACCGCAAGATCGCGTTGTACGCTGCCATAGACTAAAATGGAATAAGTGTCAAAATATTACAGCTATAAGTCTATGGAGCCGTACAACGCCATCTCATGGATTAGTTTTTGAAAAAAAAGACGCTTAAATTGTTTAAACTTAAGTGCGCCATTTTAACTTTAATTATATATAAAAACCAAAAAAACGGATATTTGCACTTACTAAAAATTTTATTTCATTATCACAGTTGCGTCAGTCGGTGGACCTTCATCGGGCGGAGTGACATCTGTACGCGCTAGCGTCTCTCCTGCCACTGAGTGTCACCGCGTACAGATGTCACTCTGCCCGATGAAGGTCCACCGACTGGACCGAAACTGTCGCGAAACCGCGATGAAATATAGTAAGTGCAAATATCCGTTTTTATATATAATTAAAGTTAAAAAAGACGCTTATTATACAGACCTTTTCCTGTCCTCCGCTAGTAGTATTATCAATGATTTGGCACGCTAAAGACTTGAGTTTCTCGATCAAGATCTGTCCGTTTTCAGAGCAGTTCAGGCCGGTGAGCTTGCTAGGAGGCGGCCTGATGCCTTTCTTCGCTAGTTCTATTTTTATCTGGCATGGATAAAAAAGTTGAATTTAAATTACAAGTGAAGATGAGTGTCAGACACGCCCACAAATAAGAATAGGGTTTCGTAGTCAACGTTTAAATATCAGGATTTTCAGCATTACAAAATTAATTTTGCTGCTGGTTTGTTTGCAGCTGTTTTTTTGAACTTGAATGGTACATTGTCCATTATAGTTTTCACAGTACCTCCGGGTTGAGGACTATATTCCATTTTTTAAATATTTTTAGAAGCTACAGTCAGTTGGAACAAGTTATGACTCAAAAATTCCCAGTTTAAAAGCAAATAACTCGAGACAGAAACATTTTAGAGACTTTGTTTCAAAGAAATCTCCCATTAGTTTTAGAAGACCTACTCAACGATACCCTACATATTGCAGTAATCAATTTACATAAATAAAATAGTAACTTACATGTTTCGGTATATGCGGTATAATATTGCTCTGCCCTGCGACTACCCTACGACACTTCTTACATCGGTAGACCATCGGATCCGGCCGCTCCCTGGTCAGCCCCGGATCCGGCTTTACGAGATCCGCGAATAGCTGCGGCAGGATTTTCACTGAAACATTAAATAATTTATTTTATTATTAACATTATTTACTAATAGTCAAGCAGCCACTGGCTGGTGTGCCTATATCTAGGCTGGTGTGTACAAAAAGGAGTATGCCCATTTCTGGTCTAAGAAATAGTTTCGCCTCAAAATGAAAATAAAAGCATTATGTAATATCCCTAATTCTAATGAAGAATAGCTATAGCAATCGTTGTACAAAACGGGACGGTACAATTTTTAAAGAGAACTAGCCTAATTTTTAAAGGCCTTTTACTGTGGTGTGAGCCTTTTTTACACTGCTTACTCTTTTTCCATGCCCAACTTTAACATTCAATAACTTCAGAATTTCTGTCATAACTGAATTATTTTCAACTAAAAAATGTTATGCAATAATTAGACTTCATAATTATTTAACATTGGCTTTGAGGCAAGGCCTGCAAGTAGTGAGGCAAGCAATGGACGAACATCCATACTAGAGTGGGCATGATTCTTTTAAAAGTTCAATTCAGTATTTACCTTATAGTCAAAGTCACTTATATTGCTTTGAAAGTCTGTTTTTTAAAACTTAGCAGATGGAGCATCGGTTTTTCCTGGGGCAGTTTGTTCCACAGTGCCCTAAATCTGTTGTTGAGAACATTATAACCAACATTTGTATTGGCTCTCCAACCCGTTATTTGAGTGACATTGCTTTAACAAGCACGGTATACAGAGAGCTCTGGGTTATTATGATATTATTGTCGATAATTAATATACTCATTCATTATACTAGCATCATAATAATAACAGCCAAAACAGTCGATTGCTATACATGGGCCTCCCCCTATACGCGGATATTACCATACTCACTACGCTTGGTAGGCGGATTGGCGAGCCCAATGTCAGATGTTGCATTCACAGGGAACGCTGCTGCCCATTACCTGGTTGATTATCCCTTAGTCGCTTTTTACGACACCCATTGGTAGGATTGTGTGAGCCGGACTCTAAGCCGGCATCACACGGCATATTCTTTATACTATCATCATATTAATAACAGCCAACAGGGAACGCTGCTGCCCATTCCCTGGTTGACTATGCCTTAGTCGTTTTTTACGACACCCATTGGTAGATTTGTGTGAGCCGGATACTCTAAGCCTACATCACATGGGAATTATACTATACAGGGTGGTAATTAAAATGTGTGCCATAGCTTCAGGGTATGTTTAGTAACGATAAAGGATGCCGTAAAAATATTGAAAAAAATCCCAGTCACAATTTTTTTTATACTTGGCCGACATTTGATTCAAATGCCTAAATCTCATCCGAAATTCGTTCAATCTCAAAGTTGTTTAGACGAAAGTACTTGTATGGGAACTCTCTAAGCAATTACAGTGTCAAAAATAGATTTTTCAAAAAGAAATTTATTTTCTTTACTATAACAGCATTTTTTTTACTGGGATTTTTTTCAATATTTTTTACAGCATCCTTAATCGATAGCTATGGCACGCATTTAAATTAACGCCCTCTACTTATGCTTATTGGTGTACCTTGTTTAAGTTTCTGTCCAGCCATTTTCAGCCTAAATTGTTTGAACCTTGGATCATCCCTGCAAAAGAAATGGAATTCAATAAGTATGTATCAACTGCAATTCATTTCATATCATACTCAAGATCAAAACCGCTCGACACTTATATTAAAAGGCAATTCCGGAGCAATCTAAGGGGCTATTTTCACTGATGAGACGTAACGTGCGACGCAAAATTTAAGATGACATCTGTCAGACAAGTGATCGTGAGCTGGCATCGACGATAGACGGCGTTTTTTTCTGTTTCATAATACATTTCATATGAAGACTTCATAATGTTACTTAGAAAGTAAAGTGAAGTGAATAGATGTAGCGAAGTGAAGTAAAGTGTAGTTAGGTGACGTGAAGTTAGGTCACGTGAAATGAAGTTAGGTGAGGTGAAGTAGGGTGAAATTACTCACTTGTTAAGCCTATACCCCATATATAATGATTACTTTAACGGGTCTTATCGCGATAGTTTTTTAGGTAAATAAGCGATTTACCTGGAAACTCGACGTTTCGACTGGGTTTCACCAGTCGTGGTCGCGAGCAGACTGAAGTAGCAGCGAGTTGTCATCAGGGCGGTGGGCAACTAGATTTTCTGCTACCCACATATTGTCTTAATAATTTAAATTGTTTGTAAACATTACACATTAGGCCGGCACACAACACTCACAATGTCCGACGATCGGTCCGATGGTGAATCGCGCGTTTTTATTTTGTCTATTACCGGACTCCATGTTGTAGACAATTTAAATCTGTCCTCCCGATTGAAATTATTGGGGTTCTTTTTGATTTCTATTGCCTCCCTCACCACTCTGGAGTAATAGTGACGTTCCACAGAGAGGACTTTTGGGGCATGAAGCTCGATCCAATGGTTGGCACCAGATGACAATAGGTGTTCCGCGATTGCCGATTTATGCGTCTGTCGGTTTTTCACAGCTGCGATATGCTCCTTGACCCGTTCACTGATACTGCGCTTGGTTTGGCCAATGTAAGACTTACCACAGCTGCATTGTACCTTGTATACACCTGCATTTTGAAAAGGTATAACATCCTTCGGTGTGCGTAAACAGTAAGATATTTTGGACAATGGAGTGAAGACAGTTTTAATCAAACCTATTATTTACCTAAAAAACTATCGCGATAAGACCCGTTAAAGTAATCATTATGTGTGAAAGTAATCGCGAGTGCTTTAAAAGTTATACTATACCCCATATGTCCGAATATGTAGTTTCAACTGGGCTTCGAAGCCAATATTAGGGAGCACAAAGCGAAGTTTACTTCTCACTACTTGTAAAGCATCTTCATAACACAACCTATCACTGTAGGTCTATAGACTTAATAATGTTAATACTTAGAAGGTAAAGTGGCATGAAGTCAAGATAGGTGATTTAATAAGTGTTTGTATTTAAGTGCAAAAAATCATAAAGCGCAATATACTTAGATATCTTTGTTATTTCTTATGAGTACGCGGGCGAGGCCGCGGGTTTTAGCTAGTTAGAAAATAAAGTGTAGTGAAGTGAATAGAGAAGAGAAGTGAAGTGAAGTGAGGTTTAATGAAGTGAAGTGAAGTGAAGTTACTCACTTGTTAAGCCTGTACCCCATATGTCCGAACAGTTTCAACTGTGCTTCGAAGCCAATATTAGGGTGTACGAAGCGACGTTTACTCCGAACCACTTGTAG